CAATCTGGCCAAAGAGGCTATATTGACAATTCAGGACTCTGACCAGCAGTGCAGTGGCAGATAATTCAAGGTATTGAGTTATTTATGCACTTATTTTAAGTGCATAACAGGACAACTTAAAAATAGTGAGCAACTGGACATGCATGCCTTCCTTCCAGCCTTGAGCTTCCCATGGAGAAGCCCTGGAGAAACAGAACTCTTCTTGCAGCAGTGGAGTTGAGTAAGTGGGACAGAGCAAGGCTGCCCAGGGGATATAGAGGCCCCTGAGTGGGTGGGGAGAGATCCCCAGTGGGATGGTCTTAGGGCTGGGTTTCACACACAGGTGCTGGCAAACAGGGCCCCTGGGTACTCGGCTCTCTCAGCACCTGTGAACTCTGTGCTTTGAAAGGCTAGATTAGGGTACAGCATGTCTTCAGGAATGCATTTCTGGAAGTTATGAAATGTTTTTGGAATATATTTATGCATTTCCCCCTTTGAAAGTGAAGTGGGGAGCGGGAGGAGGTAATGTTTTGGGATGCTGTACTAAAAACCCGAGGCTAGCCAGGTGTAATGAAGTTTATGATGTCTGCCTGAAGGTGTTTGCAACCTACAGTGGCAGCTGCGAGGGGCAGATTACAGCTTTCATCTCACCCGCATGCGGATGAGTTCAGTGGGAGAGAGGTCCTGCAGCCGTGACTCTCTTAAGCCCCCACACTTCATTTTTCTCTCAGCCTGGCTTCATCTCTAACCTGAACTTTGCCCTGAGCCCTCAACTAGGTCCCCCAGCTATGGCCCAGGAGAGGAGTTTCTTGTAGCCCTGTTTTCTTGGCACTCTGCCTGGGGCAGTCCCTATGCAGCCACATCCCTGTGGGCCCTTGGGCTATCTCATTCATCCTGGCCCTGGGTTTATGGTGAGCCAAGGGCATCCATAACAGCCCAGGGGAGTGGTCACAGCACTAAGCCTGACAGAGCTCAAGAAGTGACTGGGCAATGCTCTTGGGCACATGATATAACTCTTTGGGATGGTGCTGGGCCAGGAGTTGGACTTGATGATCCTTGTGGGTCCCTTCCGACTCAGCACATTCTGTGTGTGATCCCTTGCTCTTATGGGGATGGTACAAGACTACCTTGATGCTACTTTGTAATGGGGGATCAAGGGATTGCTGCTATTCCTCCTCCTGTTCCATGCCAGGGGGGATGATAGGGGTCACAGTAGGAAATAGGGCAGTGGGGGTGACTGTCATGGCATATGTGGGCTTTGTATTGATGTGACCCAGATTTGTAGGGTTTGCCTTCTGTACTATTTTGTTTCTTGATGGTGAGCTGAGACAGGGGATTCAGACTATCTTCTCTGCTGAGGTGCCTGTGGGTCACATTATTTATGGTCTTTAAGTAAGCCCCAAAATCTCCCTCCCTGCCCCCACAAAATGAAGTCATGGCTCCATTGGACAGATTTGAAATTATTTTTCTTGACTTATTTTTCTAAGGTTCTGAGGCTCAATTTCCCACTTCTCTGATAGCATCCTTGGAAGGAAATGCAGCCGAACTCTAGGTCATATCAGCTTTGTGTTGTTGACTAAAAGATATGATTTTACCTGTTAAAACAGCATTCAAAAGGTCATTAGTGGTAGTGATGATTGGGAAAGTAATCTTTTGGGAAACCTTCTGGTTGTGGGGGCAGGCATAGCACTTTTTGGAGGAGGGAAGAACCTCAAGACGGATTTTTTTTGAAGTGTATTTACATTTCCAGGAAAACCTCACAATCAGTTGATCTTTGACTTACTCTAGTTCACAGTGTTTATAAAGCAGAGATGGTGCTCTGTACCTCCCCCCCTCCTTCTGTGCGTGTGCGCACATGGGTGTTTCCGCAAGTGTTGTGTTAAAAAGCAGTTGGCATTTGCTGACTTTCTGCATCTGAAGCTGCTTCTTTTGGACATATGAACTGACTCTGTGCACCCTGGCATGTGCCTGGCCCTGACTGACCCTTCATGAACAGCCCTGTGTGCCCAGGGTACAAAGGCAAATGTCAAATGTGGTGCCAAGGTAGAGGGGCCGCAGTGGAGTTTCCCCTGCGCAGGCACTTCCATCTCCATCATGTGTGATGCCCTTCCACATAACCCTAACAGAAGGCTGCCTGTCAGCTGCAGGCCTGGGGTGGGCAGGATCCTTACTTTCTATGATTTCCTTGCATTAAAAACAGAGGGAAAGGGCAATTTCACCATCTTGCCTGGCTAATGGTGTGGTCGGTAGCTGCCTCTGTTTAGGCAGGGCTGTATCCCACGCCTTCCCAGGTGCATACCCACATGGTCTTGAGTGAGCATTTTGTAGGAAGATTCTGTGGGGGAAGATGTATGGACATATGTATTTCAGTGGCCCGATTTATTCCGTTGTGTTTTATTTGGTTGGTTTGACTCCTCCTCTCTTCCCTCATGTTTTCCCAAATGCTAGGAAGGGCCCGCATTTTTCTTTGCTGTGTATGTTTGGCATATGTGTTTCAAATTACTTTGGCAGGCTTTTAAAAACAAGGCTTGAGCTTCTGTGAGTATTCTAAAGTTTTTTCCCCTTACAGATAATAGTATTGAAAGACACATACTGTTGGTTGCTTGGATAGTAAAACTTACACAGAGAAGGCGATTTACTCTTCAGTGTCTCAGCCATGGATCTTGATTTAATTATTCAGTTAGCTCCTCATGAAATACAGGCACATGGTTTCATAAAAAAAATAAAAGCAAGCATTCTATCTGGCCATCTTCAATAAAGATGGTGTTATTTTGAATACGTTAAAAATAACAAAAGTCTGTTGCAGGGATTATGATAAAGAGGATGCAATACATGTGTGCATGTTTGGTTGCACAAAAATGAGGCAAATACCTGAAGCATGCTGTTAGAATTAAGTGCCAGTTCAAGAAATCCAGGTGCCCTTTGGTTTCAGTGCACCCAAGCTTGAGAATGAACCTCAAAGTCTGCTCATTAAAGAACTCTTCTCTGTTTTGAAGCCCATCCTTTTTTTTTTTTTTTCCTTTTAAAACTCTTGAGCAATGAAGCATACATTTCAAATGTTTTTTTCCAGAGCTATCTGAAACTGGCTTTCTTTGTTCACTCCAGCTGTCAGCAGATTTCAAGGTATGTGTCTCTGTGTTTGAAGAAGTTATCATAGATATTGGTGACAGCTGGGCTTTGAAATGTTCTTTGCAGTCAACACAAAGTACATGAAGAGTGAGTCATGAACATTTACAGACCATACTTTACTTCATATGTAAGTCTTCTAATAGCGAGCCTGCCTAATTGAGCTGGGGAAGCTCATGACTTCACCATGGCCCTCAAAAGATAATCCTGTTGCTAAACTTAAGGATCTGAGCAATGCTTTTTATGATGCTAGATTCAATTAATCAAATTAGGATTTTCATGTTTTCTGTCACTGCCAGAGGGGTCCAAAGTAGTGTGATTTCCACCCCTCAGGGGCTTCCAAGGGTATATTTTGTTTTTTTGCAGTTTAAGTTATTTAAGTTAGAAAACATGAGGCTTTGCATTTGGAAGGTAGGACTTTCCAATTATGAAGTTCAGTGAATTTTTTTTTCTCTATTACTAATTTAATGCACTGTACATTCCTGAGCAAGGTAACTGAATGCAGCAAATTATGTTTAATCACACAGAATTAGAGAAGTTTGTAATTTGTGTTTGTAGATGCTGTGTCTGCTCCAGGTGTAAACTGAACCACCAGAAGTCAGCAAAGACAAAGCTCTCTGAGCTCTGTGCAGTTATCCTGGACTTGTTTCCATCATGAATGAAAGAAATACTGTTAAAAAAAGTGAAGGTGCACTTAGCACTCTTGGATATAACAAAAGTTTATTGCTGACAAAGTGTCCTTTCTTTTATCCTTCTCAGGATTTTCAGAATGTTTTACAAAAGTCAGCTTTTGTTTGACTTTCTGGGCATTGGAAGTATCTCTAATGCTGTTCACAGGGTTGAACACCTAGACTCCACAAATTTGCTAGGCCTTAGTGGCTTCAGTTCATGGTGCATGGTTCAGTTTTACAGACATGTACTTTAAAACTTCCTGACTTCAGACTGGAATGCCTTCTTATGTTGATTTTCTTCCAAGGTTATACAAATGCACACTATACAATTGAGAAAACTGTATAATGTATAATAATGCTGCATAAAAATGAATAATAAATGTAGGAAGAAGAAATAAATGGAAGGAGAACATATTTTCATAAGACTGTACTTGCATGAGTGATGTACAACCATGGAGGTTACTGTACCTAATTTTAGCTACCATGTTGAATCTTTTCTAACTGTTTGCTTAGGAGGGTTTGAGTCTTAGTCTTACCTTTTGGCTGTTGGAACAGCAATCTCCACCCTGCTGTAGTCCATGTTTCCAAGGTGAGCAGCAGTGTCTGTGTGTGGGGAGTAGCAGAGGGAACGACGTGAAAGTGGGACAGTTTCAGACACTGCTGCTGCCCAGCACCTTAGCTGTGTGTTGAGATGTGGTTTGGGAAAATAAGTAGATGAACACTCAAAAAAAGTGTGTGAAGCTAGTGAGTGCAGAGAACAGGAAGATATATGTCCGAGAGTGGATTTGTCTTCCACTAAACATAATTCAGCTTCCTTTTGGTAGCATGAATGTTCAATAAATTTTATTTCTGAAAGCTATGTGTTAAGAGCACATTCCAGGTTGTGTTCCTGCTTAAAAAATTTTTTAGTGAGGAAGCATCCTGACTGAAATTTGAACTTCGTCCAGTGACTAAAGAGCTTGTAGTGCCTAAATGGGATTTATTGTAATTGAACAGGAAAGGCCTTGAAATATAAGACTGTGTAGTTGTGTAAAAGCATTTTATTTTCTGTCATCTTACACTCATTTGACATTGAATTAGAGCAATATCTTTGACTTGAGTGTCCGTAAGACATAATATAGTAGGAACAAATTGTTTTAAAGCAGCTATTATTATAATTTAACTTTTTATCAGTGCATAACATAAGGTCACTAAGTGCTTTTGTCCTGTGTTTTTTTGTTTCAGGATTGAGTCACAGAGAAAAGTGAGGATTTACACTTCTGAAGTAGGTGTGAATGGGACTGAAGGAATTACGTGGAGGATTCCGAACTCCCCTTCTTCCTGCTCCGGGAAAGACGGGTGAGTGTATTATGAAATAGTTTATAATTAACTCAGTCCTTGCTTCAGAAGGTTTGTAGTCAAAACAGGAAGATACAATTCAGATGGCTGTATGTAAGAATGGAAGAAATTTCAGATACTACATATGCACCTCCTAATTACTAACATCAGCCTTCAGAATTTGCTGTTCCTGTTTAGTAATGAGTGCTTCCAATAAAAAATAGTCTCACCCCCTTCCACCCCCACCAACTCTCTGATATAAATGTTCTGTATTTGAAAGCTCTTAGCCCAATGTCAAAGAAAGCTGAACTGACAAAATGAATTTCTCCTTTTTTAAACTGATTGAGCAAGGCTGTTACTGGAGAGAAGTGCAAGGTTGAGCTTTATTAGACCCCTGCATGTATTTTTTAGTGAAACAGACAGGTGAGAAACAGCAACAGAAATGTCCATATCACACCTGGGCTGCTCCTGAAGCCTGTTGGAGTGATGATGTGTTAGTTCCAGTGGTTGCAAATCCAGTTTGTGTGTCTTCCTGCCTCCCTCCCTTGCTGTATCTCTGCCCACAGAAGGGAGGAAGGAAGCTCCAAGGCCAAACCCTGTGGAAGGATAGTTAGGATTTCACTTGGGATTGTCTTTGGCTCTGCCTGTAGATATGTGGGGCCATCATTAGAAAAGGGCACATGACTTTTCTGTGGAATTTGCATCCTGATCTTGTAATTGCTTTCAACTTAGCGAGTACCTAGCATACCTCACCTTCAGATACTGACCAGTGAGTAAGATCTGTGCATCTTAGTACAACCTGTTCAAAATGAAAAGATACAAATCCTGTTAGAAAAGCTCATGGCGTTTAAACCCTGGCTTTTGGCAGAGGTTTATCACTTCTGCGTCAATACACACAAGACCATGTATGTGGTCCTGTGAATGTACCAGTGCTGAGCAATGCATAGCAGGATGAGTTTTCAATTGCAGGTGTTGCTGTCCAGCCAGCTCTTTCATCAAATTGTGATAGAAGAAAAATTTAAGATCTGGTAAAAATGAACCCTAAAACTGGCAAAGTGACAGCAGAATTTTTGTATTAGTATAAACATTATTGTAAATTTGAATTTAGCTTAGATTCAGTCTGTCTAAATTGTGTGCAGGGCTGAAAATCGAGAGTGCGCCACCCAAAGCAGCTTTGGATGATCTTGTGAGCCTTTTACTCTTGTACATGGGAGCAGGTAACAGCTAGAAGTAATAAATGTGTCTGGACAGCGCTCTCAGCTTCAGAGGGCCAGAACCAAGATGATGCCATGCTGCCTACAGCCCTGAAGACAAAGGACATGCTTTGGGTGGTGTAGGGACAAAAGTACTAACTTTTGATATTAATGATATAATGATTTGATATAATAATTAGTAATGGGTTGAAGGTGTCAGGGACAATGTCTGGGACTTTGCCTGAAGTGGAAGTAGGCAGCAAGTACAAATATATGCTGAAGAGGAGCAGGCTGCAGCGAGGTTCAGGAGTATCCCAGCACTTGGAGGGGGTAAAAGGCAGCAGAGCAAACAGGGTGTCAGTGGTGTATCAAAAGCATCTGGAGCTCAGTGGGTGAAGGAGGGGAAAAAAAATGGGAATAGTAACTTGTGTGGCTTCTCCAGAATGGAGAGTAGGATGAAAGGATGCAGTGGAGAATGAAGTGGGTGGGAATGTTTCTGTTCAACCATCTACACCAAACACTTTTTTCCCTCCAGAGATGTTTCTTAGTGGGCTGTATTTGAAACCAAGTAGTAAGGAGTCTTCCCTGCAGATGAGAGAGGTGAAGAAAAATTCAGGGAACCAAAAATCAGGCCTTTCTGAATGAGGGAAAAGAGCAAAGGGGTGAGAACTGTGCAGGCAATAATGGGAAAACAAGTGTTTTGAGGTGAAGTTTTGGAAAGTAATGGGACAGCAGGGATCTTCATCAGGAAATACACAGTGGTAAGACTTGATTTTCTTTCTTGTTTGTTTTTTTTTTTTTTATTACCAGTATGATGTAAATGGCAGCTTTTATTGGAGGAAAGGAAAAACCACTTTTCTCATCAAGGAAGTGGAGAAATCTCACTATTATTTGCTTTCTTGCAGAAAGAATGCTTTAATGTAAGTGTGGGAAAGCAATAGAAACATTTTCGTAGTACTTCTTGTATTTTCTATGTTTTGAAGAGGGGGCTTCATATGGTAACGCAATCTGAGCTAACCATTAGCCTACAAACTCACCCCTGTGTTCTTGAAGTGCTTTCTGAAAAGATGTTCTATTTTTCTTCCCTATCTTTCATATACTGACTTGCTTAGAAAGTCATTAGGAAAAGCTAATGTTTCAAAATTTTATTTTGAAGTTTGTTCTAATGAAATCTAGCTATATTCTGGCCTGAATATTCACTGCTTGTTGGCAAGATTAAAATGGCTGTGAGTGTTTTAAAGATTTGGGCTTTGCATAAGTACCTTTTCTCCTGTAGTGGGTAGGCTATCTGTCTCCTGGCAAAATGTGGCTCCTGCCTGAGACCAGAGCAGATCTGAAGCTGACCTAATAGCTCATAAATTGGCATATTCTCTCAAAAAGGTAATCAGCTTGGCAAGGTATAGGCTGGTCTGTACTTGTGGTTGTATTAACTTCTGCCTTGTGTCTGCCTTTTTGTCAGCTACAATTGTGTTTGCAAGGTGTTTGTGGTATATTTGCTTTATCAGGAGGAGGCTGGGGGATGTCAGACATGCCAGAAAAGTACCCTCATCTTTCCTCCTTCACTCCCTATGTGGTGTCATATGGAGCTGGGAGTCTCCTATTTTAGCAGTTGCTAAAATATATTGATAAGGTTTGCTTCCAGCAGGGCACTTTTCTCCAATTTTCTCCTCTTGTCTTCCTCCTTCAAACTCTGCCTGGTCTGAGGGCTTTGGGAGCTGGTCCTGGTTTCCCAGGGCCCTGGAAGTGGTAAAAAGGAGGTGGTGCTGACCGAGCTGCAGTACTCAGGGAGGTCTGGGATCCTCAGTGCCATGGAAAAGTGGAAGGAAGGGCATGTCCAGCTGTAGCAATCCGGACCTTTCTGGGAGCATCACACTTATCCTATATGTACTATTCCTGTAGCTGCTCCCACTGTTTGGCAGGGCTGGGGCTTGCAAGGCTGACACCAAAGCAATGTGGCTGTGTGTTCGCATTTTTCCACTGCTGGAATCAAGTATTGGAAACTTCCATTTATGCCTGGGAGCTTTTTACTCCTGAGCGTGCTCACTAAGGAGCTTGTCCTCCATATGAATTGCTTGGCCATGTTACTCTGTTTCTAACCCTGTCTATTCGTCAATTTTATTTTATTTTTTCAAAACAACTCACAATATAGGTAAAGCAAACATTTTATTGTATCTGTAAAGATGCTGACCTAGCATCAAATGGAAGAGTATGATGAAGTGATAAATGTTTCAAGCCCCTGGCCTTTTATCTCTGATTTTCTTTTTTTTCAAATGTTTCTCAAACTTAAGTGATTGAAAAGTTTTCCAGATCTGATAACTGCAAAGATTTCAAGTGAAACTTTTGGCTTCTATCCCAGTATGAGATCATACAAAGTGATATTAGCTGAATTTGTACCAGAGTTTGAAAAGAAGATGAAAATACATTACTGTTAGTGTCTCTCAGCTATTTTTCAGCTATGCTGGAAAAATGTTTTCTCATTGGTTAAGTTCTGAGTACCATTTGAAATGTTTTCAAATATATGTGTGTGTGTGTGTGTATATGCACATTTTTCTTTGCTAATATTTTATTAATTTATGCTCTTTGGGCCTTTTATCTTTGCTAGCAGGACTCCTTGGATTTCATTTTACATAGAAGTTTTCTAATCTAGTGTTGCAGAGAAATCTCACTACAAGAGAGAGAGGATGTACTGAATTCCTGCTGCTAGCCCAGAATGACTTTAAAACAAAATCTCTAACCTGTCTTTTTGTCTGGTTTCTCTGGCAGGAGACTTTGAAAGCAATGGTCTTTGTAGGGTTGTGTGTACCTAATAAGGGTAAACGTGTGTCAGCTACACGTGTTTTGTGGATCTCCATCTATACAGAAATAAAATAATTATTGCCTTAAGTTAGGCATTTAGATTACTGAACAGGGCTGAACTTCAAGGGCTGAACTTGCAAACCCAAGCAATTGGACGCTAGAAAATTCTACATTTAAAGCTACTCATTCATCCCCTTGGTAAATATTCATTTTGATTGCCTTTAATTAGAGGATTGCGTGCTTCCCCCCTCCCCCCCGCCCCCCCAAGGCCTGCATATTGTTCAGCACACAGCATGGCTAATGCTTAATGAGTGGGTAGGTTGTTGATGTTTTGTTTCTCACCATTTCTTGTATGGCTTTATTTACTGCATGGTTGGCAGATGGTGCACTGAATACAGAACTACTCATTTCCTCATGGAGATTTTCATGGCATTAACACCATAAAGAGTTACTTTACTGCATATTTTTCAGGGAATCTTAATCAGGAGTGCAAAATAAGACATACATGTATATTTAACCAAACTCTGAGCCTTGACAGTTAATTTTCTGGAAGGAGATGGTTACAGTAGAGTACAGTACAGTTGCCTTGGTGGAAGATTGTACTGTGATTGTACCAGGTTGTACTGATTCCCTCCCCAACTCCTCTTCTTTGTAGCAGAAGGCAACAGTGGGTCAAAACTCCCACAGGGGCAGGAGGTATCTCCATAACTCAAGCAGTTTGGTGGGAATGTTATAAACAGCTATAACTTCCCTCCTTCTCAACAATGTTCACTTCTTGCCATTGTTAATTGTACAAGAGAACACAGAATTTAATATATCAGAAATCTCTGGTAATCAAAGGAATAGATATTTTGTCCAGCAAGTGGGCTCAGCAACCTGTTTCCAGCATTCAGTGCACGTTTCAGACCTGATGGGAATGAACAAAGCTTCAAAACCTACTGTAAGCTACAGGAAGAGAACACCCTTCATCTGGTTTCTGTCTTGTAGGCTGTAAGCTCTTCAGGCTGGAGCCTGCGCCTTCCCATATGTCGA